TAAGATGGATGCTCTTATAAAGATGCAACTGCTTAAAATTTTAGGGCTTGGAACAGAACAGAAGAACTTGGAATAAAAGAGTTTTTGAGGCAAAGGGCAGGCTTTAGTGGAAATAGCATTTGTTAGAGCATGACTTTCAGTTTTATCCAGCAATTATACTTCTATAAAGTGGAATGCTAATGTAAATATTATGACTCAAAATAATTGCATGTTTGTTGTCCTATCTATTGCTTGATTGAGAATTTAAAGTAAGGAAAGCTTAGTTCTTTGTACTATCCAAGACCAAAGAAGGTTAGGAATGGCCACTGGAGGACACACTGAGAGTGACCAACGAAGGACAGATCAGTGTATTGCTGCCTATCAGCTAAAGCTCACAAACCTTCTGAAAGTGTTTTATGCTGAGTGCGAAAGCAGTCTAACCATACTTCCTAGTTTCTGTTCAGTTCAATTCCACCCTACGATCTAATCCACAATTGTGGCTCTGCAGGAACACCTCTCGCAAGAAAGCAACAGGCTTCGCTGCAGTGCACCAGCTGTTCACTGAGCGCTGGCCAACAACACCTGCCAACAGAAGCGTGACGGGCACTACCACCGAGAGAAATATTGACTTTGAACTGGATATCAGGGTTGAAATTGACTGTGGAAAGTGTGTATTGCATCCTACAACCCTTCAGCAGCAACATGATGACATTAGCTTGCGAAGGTTTGAAGCTTATTACTTAATTACTCTCTGTGGGGCAGTCTATCAGTCTTTTACTGTTCTTTGGCTATAACACTTGTAGTCTCATTGCTTAAGTTACCATTATGAAACGCACAACGATTAATAATTCTTATGTACTGACCTGTTTGAAAAGCATGAATATCACAGAATCACAGAATGGTTGAGGTTGGAAGGGACCTCTAGAGATCATCTGGTTCAACCCCCCTGCTCCAGCAGGGACACCCAGAGCACGTGGCACAGGGTGGCATCCAGGTGGGTTTGGAAGATCTCCAGAGAAGGAGACTCCACAACCTCTCTGGGCATGTGTAAATTAGTTTGCTAGCATCACATTATTTACAGATTACAGTTTATTCCCAGAATGGTTTGACTGCTGTTGTGTTGGACTACTGTTGTGTTTTCTCATGATCTTGGAGGACTCGCATTATTTTCTGAACGTAGAAACATGCTGATACTCTTCATATGTCCTTCTCTTAGTTAAATGATCTTTTTTTTTTTTTTTAAGCTAATGTAAGAGATTTACTCTGGTCTTAATGAGATTTGATCTCATCCTATTTTTTTCTGTGTTTATGTGATTAGACACCAAATGGCAGCTAATTTTTATTCTGATAAGACACTAATGATCTAACAAATTTCGAGAAACTGATTATTTGTCAGTAAAGTCTGCATATTGGCTACAGAAACCAAATAATTAGTATGAGAAAATGAGATTTGCTTGTTTTAGCTTTCATTTTAAGATATAGGAACAATTGAGAAATACCTTTTCATGCTGAGAGGTATAGAAGGAGATCTGCAATCCTTAGGTAGTTGATATTACAAGTTTGTTTCTTAATCTTCTATTAATCTTCTTTTTTAATAGCAGATAGCATACTTACATTAATAAGAGTATTAAGTTTGTATTAATAACATGCATTTATTTTAGGAGTTATGATCGGAGTTCCAGAAGCTTAGACCAGGAATCTCCTTCAAAAAAGAAGAAATTTCAAAGCAATTATGCCTCTACTACTCACTTACTTGCTGGCAAGAAAGTGCCATCATCTTTACAGACAAAATCCAGTGATGTGGAAACAACAGTGTTTTATATTCCTGGGGTGGATGTAAAGGTAAAAGTAGTGTGTAATTGTACAGGGAAGCACACTTTCTGTCTGCTCACATATGATTTAAAACCAACTGCATTGTTATGTACAAGTTAATATATCCGGCAGCAAAAGAACTTTGTAGTTCTGCAGATATTGCTAAAACAGGAATAATGTTTCTGTAACACATCTAATAGTTGAAAACTGTTGCAGATTTTCAGCTTAACAACTTTTCACCCTCATTTTCTTGAGAAAAAAAAAGAAGAAAACATAAAACAAACTGTATGTACCCATCAAAAGCAGCGCTATGTCAAAAGGTGCTCTGTAAGGAACAATGTATGTGACATTACATAGTATAAAGAAATTTGTTGTTTTTCTTTCAGGTATTTTATTCTCCTACCAGGTAGTTCTGTTTATTACCTGGCAGAACTGGTAGAAGTACAGATTAGTACATGATACATAAAGCTCCTTTTTTGTGGCTTGATGTGTAATGTTTGCAATACCAAAAAAAATCCTCTTTTCTTAGAAAACTTTCTGGTAGATTATGTAGTCATCTAGATTATGCAGCAACTATATCGTGTTGGGAATGTAATTTATCTTAACAATGGCATTTTTATAAATAATGCAAACAAAGTAGAAGGGAGAGACAGAACTGTTTTGCAGAAGTTGAGGTATCTTTGTCAAGTAAATCAACTGTTATTTGCTTTCAGTTACACTACAACTCTAAGACTTTGAGGACTGAATCGCCAAACACTTCTCGAGGATCCTCTTTGCCAAGAACACTTTCCAAAGAGTCCAAGCTGTATGGTATGAAAGATACTGCCACATCTTCTCCTTTACCTAGCACTATCCACAGCAAGACTAACACCTTGCTTCCTCCCCAACCCCCACCCATCCCATCAGGTACTTATAGACGATAACCTTCTAAAACTGTCACAGATTTATATTTCTCCTTCATATAATCTACTAGCTTTAGATCTGACTGCACATTGATTGAATCGTGATATTTATCAAGTCTACAGAACTATTGGCTACAGAAACCCAATCCCAGAAGCATGAATGCAGTTCAGAAAACTGCATGTTTAGAAATCTTCTGTTATAACAGTCTCAGTAATATCTATTGTGGGAGTCTCCTTCTCTGGAGATCTTCCAAGCCCACCTGGATGCCACCCTGTGCCACATGCTCTAGGTGTCCCTGCTAGAGCAAGAGGGTTGCACCAGATGATCTCTAGAGGTCCCTTCCAACCTCAACCACTCTGTGATTCAGTGATTCGGTGATCACAGTGTATCATAGTGATGGGCCATCACTGGGTTTTCTCCATTCTCATTTAACAAAGAAATGCTTATTATTGGAAAGTAAACCTTAAGTATTTTTATAAAAGATGCATGCTGATTGCTTTATTCATAATCCAAGGAATATAATTTAAAGGAATCCTTACACCCATACACTACATCATTTGAAGAATGATGTTTTAAGTTTTCTAATGCTTTTTGCCATGGACATACTGTATTAAAAAAAAATGCTTTCTGGAATTTGGTTGTTTGCTGTAATATTGAACAATTGCTTAGCCATATTTGAAATAATCAAAATACTAGACTAGCAGCCTCAACTTTTGCAGTCCCTGAAGTAAATGTGATTTGTCATAACTTGAGTTCTAATACCTAAAGCTCATTATATCTCAAATGGTTCCTGTTTTCAAGCAGGAGTCCCTGCTACATCATATCAGATCTAGAGGTACATAGATTGCACTTCCACCTTCTTAGACTTTCGCTCCTCTCTCCTTCAGTATCTGAATCATACTTTAGAAACAAAGAGTCAGAATTTGTGAAAATTTGAGCAGGGGGAACTAATGACTGAAGAAGCTTTTTATAAGCAGAACTGAGATGCTGGGAGAGAGGAGTAGAAATGGGGACACCTTCAATTTACCCATGCTATTTAGCCATTAATTCTGACTCCTTAAAATATCCATCCGCTTTTGATTACTGAATATTGCATAGTCTTAATTTATACTACTTTTCTTCAGTTTTGTTTTTATATATCTTGTTTTCATTCTTTGCCTTTAAATTCCTACCAAGCCGTGTCTAGTTACCAAGTCTTTCATTTTTTTTATCTGTAAGCTCTACATCTGAAGGACTACAATAATCTACATTTGTATGAATGTTTTCCACAAGTTAGGATTGCAATTATTTCATTATGCATTTTTAATATAAAAAGTATGGGTTATATATTTTATTATTAAATATTATTACATAAGAACACTTAAATATTTATTATCTGTGTAGCTTTTCCCCTTGAACAGAAACTCTTTTGTCTTAGTGTCTGTAGTCTGCAATAAGAGTCAGACGGGACAATGTAGACAGTCAGAGGCATGAGACAGAATAGCGTGCATAGCATGAAAATAACATGAAAATTCATGCTTAAGAAGCAAAAGAATTTTCAAGCTCTATTATAGACACTCAGTATTTATGTTTTTCTTGGAGAACCTCAAATCATTATCTCTTCTTTGAATATAAATGACATTTAATTCATCCCTGGTTGTACTATCTGATTTTTACAGGTATTAATTGATGTCTGTATTACATATAGGTGGTAATTGGGCTGGTACTAATATCGTCTTTGTATAACTTGCCAAAAGTTATTTTGTCTTTTGGTGAGCATGGATTTAAGTATTAGCATTCTCCAAAGATGTAGAAGAGAGCCATCTTATACTCTAGTTATCTTCAGGCTTGCAAGTTGCTTGTTTAGACTCAGTTGTTCTTCGCATAAGTCTGGTTAGACCTTGCCATGTACAGTTTTAATTTTTTAGTGTTTTTTTTCTTAGTTTAAGCTGACATTCTTCCCAAATTCTTCTATGTCATCTTCCTAATATTCTTTCATCTCCAGTCAGCTGGTGCTCACTTTGTATCATCTGTTTGGAGAGGAATTTTGTGTGGCTGATTTCAGTTCTATTTTGAAAGAAGCAAATGGATGAAGCTGGTGCAAGATGACCTGGTCAAGAACAAGCACAGTGCAGTTACAGTCAATGATAAACAAATAGTTGTGTTTTGCACTTTTTTTTTTTTAGTGAAACCTTAGTGTTTATTTCTAATTATTCAGATTTATGCCCTTTCAGATGATGATGATGATGCAGAGGATTAGAGGAAACAGCTGTTAGTTATGAAATATCACTTGAAGTTTATCATTTGTAGTTAAATAGGACTACATTAGACAAATTTGTCTTCTCAATGTTGCAGCCAAAGGGAAAGGAAGCGGTGGGGTGAAAACTGCTAAGCTTTATGCATGGGTTGCACTCCAGTCGCTACCAGAGGAAATGGTGATTAGTCCCTGCTTGTTGGACTTCCTAGAGAAAGCTCTTGAAACCATTCCAATTACGCCAATTGAAAGGAATTATGCAGGTAGGTTTTATTTTATATTGCAATATTTTAGGCTTTTGTCTTTTTTAATTTTATGGCATTGAAGTGCTCTTCTCTCTAAATTCTACTTTCTAATGAATACTTGTGCTTGTTAAAAGCTGTTAGTTCACAGGATGAAGACATGGGGCAATTTGATATGCAAGATCCATTAGAAGAGTCCACAACGTCATTAGTCTCATCATCGACATCAGCGTATTCATCCTTCCCTGTAGATGTGGTAGTTTATGTACGGGTTCAGGTGAGATCTTAATTCAACATTCTGTATAGTAGGTGACTTCAGTAACAATTCTTGAGTCAGGCCAGGCTTCCAAAGCATTTTTTATTTTGTTTTCTTTTAAATTATTTTCAAATGCCCATTCTGAGATAACACATGACTAGTATGATAAATAACACTTCCTTCAGCAGTTTTGATGTTTCAGTCACAAGGAGACCAACAGAAATGAGCTGTTTGGAAAAAATAACAGAAGTTCTGAGCATTTTTAATCATAACTACCTGTCAGTTTTTGTCAGAAGCATTATCTTTGTTCTTGCACATTTGTGATCACACTTTCATTATCCATAGGTTCTCCTTGTGTATCTTGGAGTCTTTTGAAAGTATCTTTCATAACCAGCATTTTAGCGAATTATTTATAGCTACTATTACAACACAAAAACAGTGCTTACAGATTTTTTCAGTTTATGCTAGGTATAAAAATGTAGGAAAATACAGTTCTCATCTATAAGGCATATTCACACTGCTTTTCATGTGTCAAGAGAGATTTATGGTGTAAATTTGATTATGTTTCCACATGGAACAGTTCATTCTAAGAGTTTCTTTAATGCATATGAAAATCAGCTACAACGATTTGTAGCCTCCCTAAGCTTATGCAAACTCAGGTCAGCTGGCCAAGAATGTGTTAGTTGAGGGGGAAGCAGTGCTTCCAGGATCTGCTCAAGAGTCAGTTGTTTTTGCACAGTTCTTGCATGAAAGGAATGAAGCTGTGGATTGACTTGCAGAGAAGGGAGATGGGAATGGACATATCATCCGCTGCATCCAACATTCTTCCGTTTGCTTTTCCAACAAGTTGTCCCAGATAATAGATCTAGTGAAGGAGGGATTCCCTGAAGTGAACCTTGTTCCCTCAAGGTTCCCTCTCATGAACCTTGTTGAGTTACCTTATTAATTCTAAAAACAGTCTGAAATGGTTGTAATATGTTTAGATTAAAAAAATAAAATGTGGCACTCTTATAACTTAAACTTGAGGTGTTTTTAATATTCAGTATTTGTTAATTGAATCCTTTATTTTCTCTCTCTTCATTAGCCCTCCCAAATCAAGTTCAGCTGCTTGCCAGTATCAAGAGTTGAATGTATGCTGAAGTTGCCCTCTCTGGATCTTGTGTTTTCTTCAAACCGAGGAGAACTGGAAACATTAGGCACAATGTACACAGCAGAAAATGTGCTAGTTGGTGGCACTGCTTCACAGAGTGGTTCAAAGAATTCAGTTAGTAAGTCTGGAGCACCAGGTAATGTACATATGAGTGATTACATTATACGCAGCTTGTAGCAAAAAAGTCAAAAATTATAACAAAAGATAAGTTTTCACAAATCTTATTTTAAGCTACATTGCTGCTAGTCAGGTGTAATTTGTTGTGCCTTTGATCTGTTCAGTAATGTTAACTGTATTATTTCATGTTTGAAAATTCTTTCATATAAAACTAACCTTTGGAAAACAAACGATTTCAGGTTCATCACCTGGACTAGGCAGTCCTCTTGGGAGAACGCGACACAGCAGTAGTCAGTCAGACCTGACCACCTCTAGTAGCAGTTCTTCAGGCCTGAGCTTTACTGCCTGCATGTCAGATTTCTCCCTTTATGTGTTTCACCCATACGGAGCAGGAAAACAAAAATCTGCTGTTACTGTTCTAACTCCTGGATCAGGAACCTTAGGTACAGAATAAATTTTTGTTTAAATAACCATTTTCAAAGGCATGATTTTTGGACTGAAGATGTAAAAGGGTCCTTTGAGACTAAATTTTCTCCTTTCTATTTCTAGGTAACGTGGACGAAGAACCTACTTCGGTCACGGGCCGGAAGGATTCTTTGAGCATTAACCTTGAGTTTGTGAAAGTCAGCCTGTCGAGAATAAGGCGTTCAGGAGGTTCCTCCTTTTTTGAGAGTCAGTCTTCAAGCAAAGCTGCAAGCAAGATAGATACGACACTGATAAACATATCTGGTAAATGCTTGTTTCATTTTAATCTTGTTCCTGTCTTACTCATTTAATGAACAAACTGCTGTTCCAGTGATACACTTTACTCTCACCAGCTCTTGTGGATGTTATTTGAGAACCTGTTGTGTGGAGTAAAGTTTTTCTTCTTTTAGAGTGAAACGGTAATTGAGATGAAGTTTTCATTTGTATACTTGCGGTACCTACTGGCAGATGCACCTTTTTATCTTCATAGCTCATTTAATGTAAACAGACAGACAAGTTTCTGACATGTTTTTAATAACTGTTTTTCCTTACAGCAGGACTGTACTGCTTGGAGGAGAAATGTTTGACTATGCTCAAAGATAATGCCCTCAAACCCTATAAAGTGGACCTGGTTAACATAACCTGTTACTACCGAGTGCTTAAGGTTGTGTGTATTTGCTTTATCTTTGTCAGCCGTCTGTGATATAGGATCTGCTTCTTTTAAATATGACATGCGGCGACTCAGTGAGATTCTGGCTTTCCCAAGAGCTTGGTACAGGAGAAGCATTGCTAGGCGGCTCTTCCTAGGTGATCAAACGATAAATCTGCCAGGTAAGATGCTCCTTCTCACGGAAAATCTTTTGTGCAATGACTTATAGTAGGAATTACATAAATATACATTAGTTGTGTATTTCAACTTATGTACCTGGACAGAATTGAAAACGACTTAAAATTTCCTTCCTATATGGGCACTCTAATAGACATTTTCCATGTCTTTTTTAAAAACTTTAGAAAATATTAGCTATTACAAGTTAAATTATTTCAAAGCTTGACACTCTCCAAGCATTTCTCAGTAGGCGGGAGCATACTGCTAAAGAAAAATGAAATCATTTTGCTTCCTTTTCATATGCTGCTGCTTTTTCCAGTAGCATCAGGTCCTGGGACACCAGATTCCATTGAAGGGGTGAACCAGCACCTTTCTCCAGAATCATCACGGAAAGCGTACTGTAGGACATGGGAGCAACCCTGCCAGTCTGCCTCATTTACACACATGGCACAGTCACCTAATGTCTTTAATGAGCATAATGCAAACAGCAGTATGTCACCGGGGACAGCATCCCATAGCTTAAAATCTCCAGCTGTTACAAGATCCAGGAGTGTGTCTGACTCTTCAGTGCCTCAGAGAGGTTAGTAGAGGATTACTTATTATTATTATTATTACGAGTATTTCCAGCAGTTTTATAAAAAATGAATGTATTTACTACTTTATAAGAAGCAGAAATAAAATGTTCTTTAATCCATGAAGTGCAGACCCAGTAGTTTAGGAAAATATCTAGAATGTGTGATTCAAAATACAATTGATTAGAATACTTCCTGAAAACTGTTGGAATTTCTTTTACTGGAGCAGGAGTTACCTAGTTGAGTTTAGCTGAGTGCTAATTTTTAATTTAGAAAGCAAGATGTTAGTATATGAACATTTCCTTTAAAGAAAACATGTTTGGAGAAATTTTTGACTTGTGTTTTTTTCATAAGCAGTACAATTTTACAAACTTATTTTACAAGACTATACAGTTTTTGTGAAAAGAGTAAGGAAAACTCTAACTCTTGAGTTGGCACTTGTGCAAATAACTACTGCATGAATATTAAAATACTTAAAATTCATGTTTTGAGTGCACTTTTAAAGAGTTTAAGAATTTAAAAGCTCTTGCCTGACTGACGAAAATATTTTTGGTAAAAACCACTATGTAGATAGACTGTATTTCTATGAGCAGTGCTTATTTAAATCTCTCATTACTTGTAGTTTCACAGTACACCTTAAAGGTCTGTCTTTTAGTAGTATCTTTTAATGTATATACTCTGCTAGTTTTCCCTAGTCAAATATTTTAAATTTTTATCTACTTTTTCTTTTTTTTTTTTTAGATCCTCTCTCAAAAACATCAACTCCATTTAACAAGTCAAATAAAGCTGGAAGCCAGCAAGGAACACCGTGGGAAACACTCGTCGTATTTGCCATGAACCTGAAGCAATTAAATGTTCAAATGAATATGAGCAATGTAATGGGCAATACTACGTAAGTATAAAACAAGATCGAATGTGTTGAAGCAGACTGTTTTGTTTTGGGATAAGACTTTTGCTCCCTGTTTTCTATTGGCCTGCTGCTGTCAGCTTTGAAACCCTTCCTCCTGTTCTGCACCATGAAGCCCCTCATGGATACTGTTAGATACTTAATCACAAAGTCACACGTGCCTAATTCACATTATTTACTACTCCGCAGTAAGTAATTTTCTCCTGCTTATCTGGTAGATGGACAAATTTTTCATTTTCATCTCTGTTCTAGGTGGACTACCAGTGGTTTGAAAAGCCAAGGCCGCTTGTCTGTGGGTAGTAGTAGAGATCGGGAAATTAGTATGTCTGTTGGTTTGGGAAGATCCCAGCTGGACTCCAGAGGGGGAGTTGTTGGAGGTACCATAGATGTTAACACCTTGGAAATGGTGGGTAAGTTGGAAACATTGTCAATATTGGGATCTACCGCAGACAGCAAGCATGAAAAGCTGTAGTATACATGTCATACTTTGTGAACCTCGTAGTATACAAACACACTGGGTTCTCACTTGTGTCTTCTGACTGCTAAGCACAGTTGGAATTGCAAATTTCCGGACTGGGGGCTGATTCGGTCTCAGGGTTGCTTTAAATTAGAGTAGCTAGCTATGCCCTCTCATGTTCCCCTCAGCTCCTGGACAGATGGCAACTAAAAAAGTTCGATTTCTAGCTCTTCCTAGAATTTCCCAGGTGCATAAGCCCTAGGAAATGCCAAAGTAGCTTTGGAGAGGGATGGAATCTTCTAACACCTCACAGTGTAAGGATCTTCCAATGCATCTGAAGAAAACAGTGTCTTTGATCCCTTTGCGTGATGTGGATGGCCCTAAGAGTGAGATCTACTGACAGAATCTATTTTTAACGCTGTTTTTCTGTATTGCTTTGGTTCTATTTCAGCTCATATTTCTGAACACCCAAACCAACAGCCCAATCATAAAATTCAAATTACTATGGGTTCTACTGAAGCACGTGTTGACTACATGGGGTCCAGTATCCTAATGGGCATCTTCAGTAATGCTGATCTTAAACTACAGGATGAATGGAAAATTAATCTGTATAATGCTTTGGATTCAAGCATTTCTGATAAAAGGTAAAGCTGTTCACTACGTTTAGTTGCCAAGTTCTGTCTGCCTGGTTTCTGTCCAGTGGTTCTAACAGAAAGCAAGGGCATACTAGAAAGCAAAAGGTCTTCTTTATTATCAAGTGTAAGATATAGTTTAACCTGAATGTTCTTGTTATTTTTAATATCTAGTGAGATATTTGTCCATGGGGACTTGAAATGGGATATCTTCCAAGTGATGATTTCAAGATCAACTACACCAGACCTGATAAAAATAGGAATGAAACTCCAGGAGTTCTTTACTCAGCAGTTTGATACAAGCAAACGAGCTTTGTCTACCTGGGGACCTGTTCCTTACCTTCCACCAAAGACAATGGCCAACAACTTAGAGAGAAGCTCACATGAGCAGTGTAAGTGGCACAAAATGTTGTCCTGTAGTGTAATCTGAGCAACTTTATGCATGCAATATTCTAAATAAAACAGCAGCAATCTTTTCTGTATCCTCTTTTTTCCTAACTTTTGTTTCTCTCTTGCTACTGCATGTCTTTCTAGTGTTGGATGCAGCCCATCATCGCCACTGGCCAGGAGTTTTGAAGGTGGTCTCTGGGTGCCATATATCGTTATTTCAAAAGCCACTGCCAGAAGATGGAATGCAATTTGGAGGATCGATGAGCTTGCATGGAAACCATATGACACTGGCTTGTTTTCATGGACCTAATTTCCGTTCAAAATCTTGGGCCTTATTTCACCTTGAAGAACCCAACATTGCATTTTGGACAGAAGCACAGAAATTTTGGGAAGATGGTAATTTAAAGCATTTCTTCTCTCTCCATTTTCTTCCTATAATGAATTTTAAGAATTTATGGCTATATAGGAGGAAATCAGAGAAAAACTTACAAGTCTGAATCCAGATGATTTCTCCAAAATTTACTGCTTATGTAAAATAATCTGTTCCTTCTCGTATATTTTTACCACCACTTGCTTGATAAAGAGGAGTCTTCTGAGGATGCACAAGTCCTTGGCATGCCTCTGAAAGGGACTGCCTGCCTGGTTAACTGTGTGGCTGTGTTTTTTCTGTCTTGGCTTCTAGGGGTTGAATCTTGAAAGTCTTCTACCACTCGCATTTGCCTTTATATTGAGGAATCTTTACTGGTCATAGCTATTGTGAGGATTTAAATTTTGTTGCTTGAAAGCTTTAGGCCAGTTTTTAGTGCCGCTTGCTTGATAATTATTCATATTATATACCTGTGGTTTTTATTTTATTTATTTATTTTTCTCTCCAAACACCGTGTGCCTTCAATGCAGGTTCCAGTGACCATTCTACATACATAGTGCAAACCCTGGACTTTCATTTGGGCCACAACACGATGGTCACCAAACCGTGCGGAGCCCTGGAAAGCCCCATGGCAACGATCACAAAGATAACCAGGCGCCGGCATGAAAACCCCCCACACGGCGTTGCCAGCGTGAAAGAGTGGTTCAATTATGTGACAGCAACAAGGAACGAAGGTTAGATTGGTGTTCATTAAGTTTTGGGTTTGCTCTGCTTGGCAGCCAGTGCTGATTATGGTAATAAAAAAGCGGGCAAAGGAGGAGAGAGATCACTTTGAAAGGATGAATGTTGCTTCTTGATCTGAAGCTTATGCTGAATGGTGGGATAAAACCTAACAGTACACTGAACAGCTGAAGTGTTCTTGAGCTAAAATCCTTTTTCAAATTAGGCAGTAAAGCCAAAATGTTCTGGTAGACTTACAGCATTGCAATAGCTCTATTCTTAACTCTTTCCTTTTTCTCTTTCACCACATGTGTAGATTTTTATTTTTTCACATAGTTGTCCAGCTATGATCTTGTACCATAAGGATACACTTAGCTATTTCACAACATAGGAAGAATTTATGGGTCGAAGAAGGAATTTATTTTAGGCATCTCACTTGTTATGAGCCCTTAAAAATTATTTATCTGCCTGAAGCATTTTAACCCTCAGCTGATTCTAGGCATTAAAATGTTTTTGAATCATGCCTGTCATTGCTGTTAATTGGAAAATAAAATGTACAAGTTATATTAAAGAAAAAAGTTTTTAAAGTACATCTGTTACTAGTCCATTCATAAAACTATGCATCTTATAGTCTCAAGAAAAAAAAATCAAGCTACTGATAGACTAATATTTATTCCTTTTGCAAGACACAACAGGATGTAGTGGTTGGGGTTCACAAGTTGTTAAAATGTTTTTGCCCAGCCCTGTTTCACTACATCCGGAGTATTTAAGAATATAAACAACAGCATCATTTGATTTTTGACCTTTTGTGGTCATATTGTAGAGAGCAGGATAGGGGATATCATCTTTTTAATAATCATACACCAGCATTTTTACGATTAAATAAGAACTTGGTCTTGTCGTGATTTTAAAAGTTGGAAAGTAATTCAAATGGTATTGCATGTGTGTTATGGTCAAAATGACATGACAAAACTGGATTCCTGGTTATCTGTGATTTTGGTAGCAGTATTAAACCAGTGAATTTAGGTTCTCTATGTAAATTAAATCTAAATGTAGACTGGCCAAATAAATAAAATTTGGACTTTAAGCTTCAGGAGAAAAAAAAAAAAAAAGAGTGGATACTTTCAGAGTTGCTTAGATGCTAGGGTACCAAGGCCTGTTCCCCCACCCCACTTGTTGAGTGCAGATTCTCACTGAAGTGTGTTTTGGTAGATGATGTTGCCACTGTGAAACTAAATTTATTGAAAAACCTGTCACCGTCCTTGCTGAGAGAACTTTATTAGAAAGGATTGCTGAAATGTGAATTCTCTTATTGCCCTTGTAGAATTAAACCTGCTTCGAAACGTTGATGCTAATAACCCAGAGAGCAGCACAACGGTGAAAAGCTCGAGCTTATTAAGTGGCTTCAGAGGAGGTTCCAGTTACAACCATGAAACTGAAACCATCTTTGCACTGCCAAGGATGCAGCTGGATTTTAAGTCGATTCATGTTCAAGAGCCACAGGAGCCTTCATTACAAGGTGCAGTAAATATAATTTGGCTTTCTTCAAAGCTATTTTTCACAAATCAGAAGTCAAATACAAAGATATTTCACTGATAAGAGGGATATTTAATCTGAAAATTATGAAAGATCTGCAAAAAGAGCCCCATTTTGAAATAAAACAGAGGGAATTATGATGAGAAGGAGAATATCTAGTCCAGACGCTGGTCACTGTAGAACAGCCTAAGAGAAATGAACGCAAATGTTTCAGCTATTTCTCTTCCTAACTTTTAATAAAATGTAAAAGAGAAGGACTATTTTGAGGAAAAAAAAATAAATTTTCAACCTCCTTTATTCCTTTATAAAAAGTAAAAGAAATTAATCTGGGGAAAACCAGTGAAAAGAATATTGAGGATGCTAAACACTATTTTTAATGGTGGTCCTTCCTGTCGTTTGAGTTTCTGGTTCAGTAATAGCAAGGTAATTTTAAATTATTTTCTATAAAAATGTTATGTGTATTTAAAAATATACCAATACTATTTTTATTTGACTGTAGATACAGCTGTTAAACCAAAGGTGGAGTGCAGTGTAGTAACTGAATTCACAGACCACATTTGTGTGACCATGGATGCAGAACTGATCATGTTTTTGCATGACTTGGTATCTGCTTATCTAAAAGAAAAAGAAAAAGGTAAGTTATTGTATGAGGACCAATTTGTGAATGTCATTCTACTTCATAGTATATATTTTTATACTTCTAAAATAACATTGATTTTTTTTCAAATGATTTAATTGTAAAGAAAAAAAATAAGTCTATTTTTTCGCCTATTGAAGTTAGTACAAGTAGAATCAAACATTTGGACCTAGTAGTCCAAATAAAATGATAGTTCTCTTTCAACCACTAATGAGTGAAATTGAATTGCATATTAATAAAAACAAACATACAGGATTTTTCCTGGTTGTTTTGGACTGAAAAGACAAGAAATGTCAGGTATTTTTACCCTTCATAAAAATACAGCACTGTTTAGGAAAAGCTTAGCTGGCTTGAAGGCAGCTAATACAGAGCTATAGTTGCCTCCAGACAAGCTGAGGAGTGCCACTGTGTTCAGGGAGCTGCTGAGCATCTGTGGGGTGCTTCAATGTGGTACCTGCATGCAGGAGATTCTTCACTAGCAAGTCAGTTACCTCCAGTGCTGCCCCTATGTGCACTGTGCCTCCAAGGGCAGACATATCCCTGGATTTCTGTTCTTATCCACTACTGATGATCCTCTGCTAGTTACTTCAAGTGATAATCTTGTTCCCATTTTGCCATCTGGTATTTTATTTAACTTTTTGTTGGATGATGTTTGCCTTAAGACAAAGATTGAACTGTTTTCCCATTTTCTCCACAATTAATACTCTGTCAATCTAAAAAATATATTCTGTTAGGACTGTGCCAGAATTTTGCTTATGGAAAGTTTTAACTTCTGCCCATTTCGCAGCTATTTTTCCCCCTCGCATTCTGGCTGCTCGTCCAGGACAGAAAAACTCTGTTGGCGTTCTTGATGACAGCTCCACCGACGGAGAAGCAGAGGAAAGCATTACTTACACTACAGTCGACTGGAGAGAGTTCATGTGCAATACTTGGCATTTAGAGCCCACACTCAGGTAACAAGCAGGCTTATCTGCCATCAGTTCTGTGCGCTCTGTCTGTGGGTCCCGTCCTTCAAACCACAGATATTTCCAAGCTGATGCTCTCCAGTTACTACATGTGGATGCTTTTACAGAGTCGTCTTTGGCTATTAGTGCTGATAGGAAAGATAGCTGTTACAGGGTGTGACAAAAGCTGGCTAACCAACTTACATCACATTAGTTAATCTCTAAACTAAACTTTTGGAAACTAAATTGCTTAGAGCTAATACAGTTATTAAAAATAATGCTGGATGTTGTTCAAAATCAGGTTATACTGAAATTCAACACATTAAGGACCACAGATTACTGCTTTTCTACTCTTTCCTACGACAATCCAATTAACTTTTCTGTCATACAGTTTTTCAACTTGCATTTTTCATTTACTTTGCTGTTTTTCTTCTGAAAACATATGGAGTTGTCTTTTTGCTTTCCCACATCATTCCATAGTAAAACTTAATTTTTGCACAGTATAAAAGTTAAGATAAGCACGTTAATGAGAAATATGCTTGAAAAAAAATGAGATGCTCACCAATTGATCCTCTTCTCAGTTTCTTCCCGTCCTCTGCATTTTTTTCTGACGAGATACTGTGCAACAACATCCTTTCTCCTGTGCAAGGTGGGGTCATGTCTGTCTTCCTTTGCAAAAGGAATGCAACAATTCTACTTATTAATAAACCACTGCCTTAAAATAAAAAAGCACTACAGATTAGTTGCTAAATGGCTGTTTAAACTTAGCATCAAAGGACAGTCTGTATACAAGCAACCCACTGCTCCCAGTGCACACAGGGAATGACTTTGGTCTTTATCAGGGTTTTTTAATCTCTGCTGAAACTGCTAGAGCACCCAATATCAAAACGTGAACCCAGGCCAAGCAAATCTGGCAGATAGTAGATGTTTTTGGTTAGTAATAATGCGAAATCAACTTAGAAAGGTTTTTGAGGCTGCCTCTTCTATTTTCTTTGCTTCTTCAAGCCTCTTGTTCCTTCAAAAAATTACAGTCTTGTTCAACTTATATAAACGAAGTTTGAAAGAATGCCTGTTAGGGTTCAGTCATTTGCAAGTGCCAGTGATAAAAATGGACGTTTGCTTAGACAAACGCGAGTTGCTTTATCTCTATTTATATACATATGTGCATTTGAGCCCTCTACTTTTTATTTTAGATTAATCTCCTGGACTGGGAGAAAAATCGATCCAGTTGGCGTCGACTACATCCTGCAGAAGCTGGGCTTTCACCATGCCCGGACTACTATTCCCAAGTGGCTGCAGCGTGGGGTAATGGACCCCTTGGACAAAGTTCTGTCAGTTCTTATAAAGAAACTTGGTACTGCACTACAGGATGAAAAGGAAAAGAAAGGAAAAGACAAGGAGGAATACTAGAAGTACACTGCAATGACCACAATTCCGTTTGATTCTATTGAAGTGTTTTGTTATATATTAAGAGTTTAAATATGGTTTAAAGAGAAACCTAACAGCTTTTTGCTACTCTATTTAAAACTTACATTGTGAGTAACTGTTTACTGTGGTACATGCTACCATTCTGTATTTGAAGTATTGCATGATTATGACCAATGTACATTCTGTGAAGGGATAGCTGGAACACTGTAAATCTGCTCCTCAGCACTGTTTTATTATGTGCAATATGATTCCTGCATCTTTAAAAGTACTTGCAGATTAACTGTGAATTTTCATAACTTTATTTGCCATAACACAAACCCCTCGTTGATAATGTGATAGGTAATTGCTTTGTCAATGTAGACTTGTGTAAATTATATGTATATAACTTATGAAACTGTGATTGCCTTAGTGCTAAAAAAGAAATTAAGTTTATTATTACACTTGTAATAAAATTTAACGATTGTACACGCTTTTGTTCCGCCGCCTCCATGAGCGAGGAGGCGCGCTGGGCTTCCCCTCCCGCCTGGAAACAGTGAGTGCCGCTGCTGCTCCCGCCT